CTTCCCGGAGAACCCATCAAGACACGTATTATCATCGGTCAAAGCGGCACTGACCCAAGTCTCCACATTGCTCATGTGCCACAAGAAATCCTGACCCTTGGATTTCCCCATGTTCTTCAGTTCCGTCACCGACTTGCTCATCCTGTCCACGCTGTCCCCCATCTCCTCCAAGCAGTCCTTGATGGCTCCGTACTCTCTGGATTTTAGTCCCTTAAACTTGGCCAACTTGGTCACGAATGTTTTGGCGCTCTTTGCTTTCGTTAGGCTGACGGACAAGGCGGCCTGGGCCAGCTGGCGGGGGCTTTGCTGGATAGAGTTGGCGTAGGAAGAGAGGGATTGGATGCAGACTTGTGGGTAGGTGGTTGCCCTGCATGAGGTTTCGATGAAGTTTGTAGTAGTTGTGGTGGATGCAGATTTGGCTGTGCCAACAAGGTAGAAGATGGGAAGAAGAAGCAAGAAAACTGAGGCTCTAGCCATTGAAGGAAAGTTGGGAATTTGGAGTGGGATTGGACTTGGAAAAGGTTGAGACTTGAGAATGCGAAATGATAGTGAAAGGATTGCGTATTTATAGAGACGTGACACTATTTTTTTTTTACACTATGTTTCATCTTATACACATTGCTCTTTATTTTAGTTTTTTTATTTGTTTAGTCTAAAGATCATAAACAATAAAGTGTGACATGAAATAACATAAATGTACGGAAATTATTCGTTTACATATAAAATGTATAATTAGTCGGAAAAATCATTACTTTATGTTAAGTTGTACTAATTAATTGACACCGTGTGTAACAATCTGCGTACTAGATTCATTCTTCCTAGTTTTATTTCTTTGATATCTCGAGATGTGGAAAAGGCAAGGATAACAGATAAGGGTGTAAATAAAGGGCTTCTGATTTTTATATATATCTTTGTCAACTTCGTGGAAACTTAGGCACATGACCAATCGTATTTTTCAAACATATGTATAAATTACCTAATGTTTTGTCGACCAACGTGACATAGTTTCTATTTTTTACGGGTACAAATCCAGTAAGCTTTGTAGGTTAAGTGGGATCCACATATTATCTAGAGGCTGCGAGTTGATTGAGGCCAAATCTTGAAAGAAAATTAATGTCCCACACCATGTGATACGCAAAATCTAAACAAGAAAACGTGATTGGGGCATAGATTATAGAAGGGATCTTCTCCAGATCCCTTCCATCAAATTCACACAATCAATCAATCAGGATCCTTGAAATTTAATCAAACAGTTACAAACAGAAAACTCTTTTAAAAGTTATAATAACTTTAGTTGTTAAATTAAATTTCAAGAGCCCGAATTAACTGATTTGATAGATTTGGTGGAAGATATCTGAAGAGAATCCCTTTCCATAGATTATTTGCACTTCCTTGAATTATGCAGCAGGACTTAGGGAATGCATGCTAAGCGGCAACTATTTGGGTTCCGGTTTTACCTATTTCAAAGTCATCAATGGAAATATAACAAACTAACAAACTAACTTCAAAGAAAAATTAAAAACAAATACATAAACAAACAAAAAAATAAAACCGATGAAAACCAACGACCTTTTGGTAAAGTGATAATTTTCTTCATTAAACGGTATTAGGTAATTCGACTCTGCATAATTGTGATTAAGAATACAACATATATCTTCCATACAATTGATATATTTAGTTGTGATGTAACTTTATTATGATGTGTTAACCCGTTGTAATATCTTTTTGACGGCCCTATCGTTCATACGAACAAAGAAGTTATAAATGGGAAAGCAAGCTATGTGAAATGAGAGGCCAATAGAACAAAGGCAGAAGAAGGGCAAAAAGTGACCAAAACCCTAACAAATTAGGGAAAGAAACAAGAAAGCAATGTAAAACGAGATGTGAAACCCACGGTTATAATTGAAGGCAGTCTAAAGTAATGTGAAGGGAACATATGTACCTACCTAACTGCATGCATGGTATGAGTTTTTTCTTGTGTTTTTACCCGATAATTAATTTCATCAACGACCAAGAGAAAGAGAAAGGTTGCAACCCCTTTTGCTCCAGTCCCTTGCCGACCTATTAATTTGTTAAGTCACATAATATCAGAAGGCCAGAAACTAAGATTTACTCGTTGTTAAGTGGCTTGTGATATTTGTTAACTTTTAAATTTTGATACTGTTTTTATAAAATTAGTTCTTATGTTAGTGTTTTTATGTTAGATTATAAAATTAATTAATCTGAAATTATTTCCCTAATTATTGCATGTGTTAGTTCATGCCTGCATGAAGCAACGCAGAGATTAATGGAAAATGCTGCTGAATAAGTTAACTGTGCTTGTTCCTACCACTGCAAAATATCCCCACCAAACTGCATTATAGGCAAAACAATATGAGTCATGTGATTGTGACCAACAAATGAGCTATGAAGTAAATAATTCAAGCACTAGATTATGTCAATTTGCAGTCGACATGCCCCTATCAAGGTTCTGGCTGGCTGAAAAAATGGGCATTGTTGTGAAAAAATGGGCAACTGTAACTCTCAGTGAAATCGAAAAACGAAGTAGTTACACTTAGTAAAGGGTATTAAGCATGTAATGCAGATTTATTTGTAATAATGATTTAACCCGAATAAGGAGAGATTATGAGCTATTTCTATTTTGTATATTCTCGTGTGTATCTCTCTAACATTACATAATAAGAAAATTAAACACAAAAAGATATATAATCAATTACGAGACAGATATTATTTCCAAAATAAGATTGACACTTTCGCTTTGTTACTTTTGTACATCTAAAAAACATAGGTTGGTCCATATCATAATCAATAGAGTTCTTGCCATGTTTAATGAGCAATTATTGGATTAACAACGTAACCACAGCCGTTATGATTATACCAATGAAACGAGAGTGTCTTAAACTAATCATGTATTAACGAGGATCAATGATTAGTTGGGACGTAGGGATATTTCCGAATCATACTACTATTACCAAAAGTTAAGACCTTTTTGGATGATAGAGGCCGAAAGCAAAGAATGGTACAAGGCTATCTGGAAGCATCTGTCGAAAAATAATGGAGTAGTACTAGCCAACTAGGCCAAGTTTGATCCTTAAGATTGAGGAGGACTTCCTCTTTAAGGTGTTTTGTTAATGATTTACGAAATTTTGTGTTTAAGATTGGAATCGTTCATATAATAAATCACTCTGCATATTTAAGAGGAATTCCTTGTCTTTTCAGGAGTCAAGTTATTAATTCCTTGAGAGCAATTCCACTCCTAAAGACTTTGCGCCAGCACCCAGCTCATTTATCCACTCAAGTGAACAGTAATAGACTCCAGTAAATAGTAATAGGCCAAAGCATCTCCACCCCTAAAACCAAATAGCCTAGTCAATTTTATTAAAATATTATTAATTTTTATTATAAAATAATAATTTAATTTTTAACAAATGCATCTCCGCTCCCCTCCCCTGTCTCTGCCTCAGAAGCTCCCCTACTGCTCCCCTCCAATGTGCAGAAGAAAGAAACCCATTAACAAGATGAAGGGATATAAGAAGAACACAGTGGAAGGGATCTCTCTCTCTCTCTCTCTCTCTCTGAACCTCAGCCTCAAGGAGGGCGTCGAAGGCCCCCAAACCCCCATCCCCGCCGCCCTTTGCTCCGCCTGCAAATTGGCCTTCTTCAACCTCATCCTCAAGGAGCTCTGCACCAAGATCTCTCTGCAACGCGTTGATCGTGCGGGAGGTTGATGGCCCGACTGACGTCAAATGACCCGGCATATGTGTAACATCCCACATTACCCAAGGGAGTGATCCTTAAATGTATATTCTCATCCCTACCTAGCACGAGGCCTTTTGGGAGCTCACTGGCTTCGGGTTCCCACATCGCCCAGAAGAGTGATCCTTAAATGTATATTCTCATCCCTACCTAGCACGAGGCCTTTTGGGAGCTCATTGGTTTCGGGTTCCGTCGGAATTCCGAAGTTAAGCGAGAAAGTGTCCAGAGCACTCCCATGATGGGTGACCCACTGGGAAGTTGCTCGTGAGTTCTCAGAAACAAAACCGTGAGGGCGTGGTCAGGGCCCAAAGCGGACAAGATCGTGCTACGGTGGTGGAGCGGGCTCGGGAAGTGATCCGCCTCCAGTCGGGATGTGACAATGGTGTATCAGAGCCTAACCCTGGCCGTGGTGTGCCGACGAGGACGTCGGGCCCCTAAGGGGGGTGGATTGTAACATCTCACATCGCCTAGGGGAATGATCCTTAAATGTATATTCTCATCCCTACCTAGCATGAGGCCTTTTGGGAGCTCACTGGCTTCGGGTTCCGTCGGAACTCCGAAGTTCAACGAGAAGGTGGCCAGAGCACTTCCATGATGGGTGACCCACTGGGAAGTTGCTCGTGAGTTCCCAGAAACAAAACCATGAGGGCGTGATCGGGGCCCAAAGCGGACAATATCGTGTTACGGTGGTGGAGTGGGCCCAGGAAGTGGTCCGCCCCGGCGGGGATGTGACAATATGGGTCTATAGATTTTAGGCCGGTCTCTTGCCTGGCTTGGGTTGGGTGCCAGTCAAAATGCTAGGCTGGAGTGGATAGCCTGGGTACTGGGCTGGTTTTTTGGCTGGGTGATGGCCTATCAGTTCCCTGGTGGAACTGCTCTGACATATTGCATGGTAGAAGGGACTTAGGTTTGGGAGCTTAAGAACTGAATAATAATAGGGTTTTAAAGTATTGATCATCTATCCATAATAAGCAGTTTTGATCAATCTATGTTTAACACTAGAGACTTTGAAAGCAATATAAAACAATTTTATTCATAAGCGCTTTTACTAAAAGCTCTTTTATTAAAAACACGTCAAACCAAATATTAATAAAAACCTAGGTGTTTCTTGAAAGCACTACATGCTTCTTCAACGTGCTTACAACTCATAAAGAGCTTTAGTTTTTTAGTCAAATCTTATCGAAAATACTTTTAATTATCCAAAAAATTTGGTCATTCGAAAAATAACTTCAAAGTCATGCATCGTATCGTTCTAACAGAACAAATAACAATTGCTCAAACATTAGAGAAATTTCAAGTGAAGTGAAAAAGAATTGAATGCTTTTATTTTTCTCTTATGTTCGACGTGTACAAGTATTAGATATGAGTTGGGTTAGGAACATCCAGCTATGGCTGAACTGAACAGAACAATATTCTTAGTCAGATTTCTTCAGAAGCTTTTTGCAATTGCATGTGTCTTCTCTGTCACAACGAAGACACGGAAAAGATGAACAGCTAGGGTTTCATGGCTTCGAGCAACCGACCTTCACTTGTCTGCCAATCCTTCAGTTTTGTATCAATGTTGAACCAGAAGGACCAAAAGTCACAAGATTTTAATTTTGTGGGTCTATGAGTCCAATCCTCTCTCCATCATCATCAATCTCACTCTCTCCACATCCTCCAACCTACCCACATTGCCATAAATCATCATCAAAAGCTCGAAATTATACTCGTTATCCGGCTCCAGATCGAAAAGCTTCTCTGCAGCAACCTCCCCGATATCAACATTGCTATGAAGGTAGCAAGCATACAGCAGTGCACCCCACACCGTCGGACCAGCCTCAAACTCCATTCCATCCGTTATGATCCCGTAAGCTTCTTTGATCCGACCTGACCTTCCGTAAAGATTCACCATGCAAGCATAATGCTCCATAATTGGACTAATTCTGTATCTATTTTTCATGACAGAATATAGTCTCTGACCGTCCTTGACCAGACCTAAATTGGCGCAAGCCGATAAGATTGACACAAATGTGATACTGTCTGGCAAAGCACCGTCCTTCTCCATCTGATCAAAATACAGCAAGGCTTCCCGGCTTTTAGAATGAGCTGAAATGATTGTATTCCATGTTACAACATCCCTCTCCGGCATATGACTAAACAACCATCGCGCTCGATTCAACTCGTGGTGTTTGGAATATGCAGCAATCAAGGCATTGGCAATGGACAAGTTCCACTCAACTCCCATCCTAATTACCCATCCGTGTATTTGAACTACAAGCTGTAATGATTGAACCGCAGCGAGGATTGTGGATATAGAAACAGAATCGGGCTGGTAACCTTCATCAAACATTTGGCGAAAGATGTCCAGCGCCTGCAGCAAAACCCCATGGCGCATATAACTAGTGAGCATTGTGTTCCAAGAAACCTTGTCCCGACTGGAAATCTTATCGAACACTTTCCGAGCCTTCACAATATCGCCACATTTGGCATACATGTCCACCAGTGCATTAAGCACAAACCTATCATTCAATAAACCCGAACGCACAACATGCCGATGCACAGCCTCACCAATCTGAATGAACCCAATTCCCCCACAAGCTTTCAAAACTCGAGGGAACGTGAACCGGTCAGGTTCAACTCCCTCTTCCTCCATTTGAAAGTACAGCGCCATAGCATCCTCGTACAAACCCAATTCAGCATACCCCGAGATAAGCGCATTCCATGCAAAAGCAGAAGCGTCCCTCTTAGGCATTTCATCAAACACCTTGTGCGCCTCCTCCATACGCCCACTTGCAGCATAAAGTCTAAGAAGCTTCGACGAGAGGCCTACATTTCGACGCAAAAGGCTTCTGGGAATGAGCTTATGAACCCGGTGGCAATACTTCATTGCTTCTAGCTGGTAGCATATTTCCAAAAGGGAAGCAAAGGTTTGCGTGTCGACATTTACGCCTTTGTCGACGGATGCTTCCAGGTCCTTGACGACGGCGTCGAGGGCTTGGAGCTTGGTCTGGGCGGAGGGTTTATGGTAAATAATGAGGGGGGTTGGGGTTGATTTGGGGAAGGAGAGGGAATTGGTGTTTTGGTTTTGGTGAAGCTGTTTTTGCTTCTTGTTCTTCTTGCTTTTGGAAGAAGTGCAGACGCTCAGTTTTGCTGTGTGGAAACTTAGCGGTTGAAATGTGGTCACCATTTTTTGAAACTAACAAATTGTTTGAAAAATTTCTAGTTAAAGGGCCTATAAACTACCTGTCGTGTACACTACTCTGACCAACTGGATGGACAACACCAAATATTTACATAATTAAAAAAAAATCTTGACAAAACAATATAAATTATTTACATGCCGAGTACACTGCTCTGATTGACTGAGTTAACTCACGTATGCAACATAATTTAAAGTATTGTTTTACATTGAAATAACCCATTCAAGGTTTTAGCTTTCTCTAGTACAACAAAATTATAGTCTGTTCCTGTACAACAGTACATGCATCTTAAATATCAGATTAGATCTTGGATTAACGGTAACCAGATCAGATTGACCTCAGTTATACATTTTTCACTTGCAGCATAGTTTTCCTTCCAGCTTAAGAGGGGTAAATGCAACCATCAAAGTGACACATTCGGGGTAGATAAAATTAACCCGGTTGATCAGTAATCGATTTAGATTTCGCCACGCTTCTTTTAGTAGAAACTTTTACTCCTCAAGACGCTTCTGGACAGCAGACTAATCTCCGGTGATCTTTGCCAGAGAGACGAAAGCACGAAAATCTTACAAGCCCTGCTATCTTTTACTCGAGCGTTCATTTGCTGCAGAAAGAAAAACAAGTTACTGATTCATTGGCCCTTCAGACCAAAAGAAAAAAAGACAAGGTGGCCTTAAAAATGGGCACAGACTAGCTTCTGGGACAAAATTAAATTCTTTTAGGCTGTTTTTTAACGTTTTCATGTCGTATAAAACAGAACAGCAGCTCGATTATTAATGACAATGAACATTGAAAACCAGATATGGGGAATAACAGAATGTACCTCAGTGCAGCAAAAATTGGCCGAACTTTTTCAAATATGTCATCCACCGTTCCCACAGCATTGATCTGCACACATGGATTTATCAATTTATACTTCAAGCAATATATAAGTTAGACCCAAATCAAGATGGTACGCAACAAATTAATAAGAAAGACACAAAGAAGAAGCAATGAACAATTAAGTTTATGTGTGTTAACACCAGATGAAAGGGAAATTATAAGAGATCAGTTTTGCATCCTAGAAAACTTCATACAGACACACAAGGAGCTCGAAGTATCAAATGCCACTAACTTAAAAAGGATGTTTATACAAACCCTGAACGTGCCATTTACCTTGTGAAGTTTTCCTGTCATTGAATAGTGATTGATAACGGGCCAATTTAATTCATCAAATATTTCAAGACGTTTTTTTATTGTGTCAATGTTATCATCAACTCGGCCCTGCAATAAACATCATACATTAGATAAATACATGCACATAATCCAACCATATAGAAAATCACAACACATAAGCACCTGATTACGATTTAGCACTCGCTTCACCATCTCCCGTTCAGGGCAGTCAAAGAAAAGCACAACATTTGGTTCTCTGCCAATCTGCAAGTTTGATGAAGCTACGAATGAGGACTAATTTGGTCGAAAAGTTAAATGCTGCGGTAGCTGTCTCAGTTATATTCATGATATGATCTATTGAGCTTTCTCACTATAAAGTTAATCCTTGCAGCAAGGTCAAACAAGATTTGAATTTTCTGAAGCATTAAACAGAGGCAACATTCCATATTGGCTCGCAAGCAAGGTCTAAAATATCGATGATATCGGAAATATCGGTAGTCCAAAAAACACGAAAATTTCGATGGAAATATCGGGATATTATCGATATCGATAAAAATTGAATAAAAACCACGGAAATTGTAAGAAAAACTTGAAAATTTTTATTGAAACTTTGCAGAATGTTTATTTAGTCAATTATCTATTAGTTTATCACAAAAAATTGTAAGGAAATGCATTGCATGATGGATTTAACTGATTTAAGTTGATTATATAGTGAGCTAGCAAACATTGTGAGTGTAGAAAATATGTAATAATTAATGAAAGAAGTTTAAACACACCATAATCATTTATATATAATGAATTAGTACAATATTTTACACTTTATACATTACATGGTAAGATACATGAGTGAGTTAGTACCACATAGAGTTCCTATCAAGGTCTAAAATATCGATGATATCGGAAATATCGGTAGTTCAAAAACACGGAAATTTCAATGAAAATATCAAGATAATATCGATATTTTAGACCTTGCTCGCAAGAATAGAAGGAAGGAAACTCACAATTTGTTCAAATGCCTCGCGGTTCTCCTCACTTCGAGGGAAGCCATCAATGAGAAACTTATCATTGTCACTTGATTCCATCTCCTTTCGAATGAGTTGGACTGTCACTTGAGAGGGAACAATTTTTCCTTCCCTAATTGTGCTAAGAATCACCGAGCTGAAATTGCAGTTGCAAACTCAATTGAACTATACCACCAAATGCATCAAGTAGCTAACCCTGAACAAACAAGGAGAACGAAGAATTATTACCCGTATGCGCTATTGGAAGCTATTTCCCTCCTCAACAGATCCCCTGCGCTGATATGAGTGAACCCAAATTCCTCGACTATCTTCGCACACTGAGTACCTTTTCCACTACCAGGACCACCTGAGATTCAGATTACCACATAATTACAATCACCACAGCTTTCCGAAAAATGAATCAAAATCCATAACATAAGCATCCCAAAATCTCACCTAGCACAAAGGTTATAAACGGTGCAACCTTTGACTGCATCAAACAACATAATCAAATCAAATCAAACATGATAAAAAAAAGTGCATCTTTCTTACATTATAAGATATCATTCAACAATTCATAACCTGGGTTAAATCTACAATTTCCTTACCGGCGTTGGAACCTGGGATTCCGAGGAAAACGATTCCCAAATCTTGAACGTACATGCTTCCTGCGGTCAGCCATCAATTACATTTCATCAGGAAACGAATAAAAATATCGTAAATTGGTGATTGCGATTGAATGCGAGCTGAGGGAGAGTGTAGAGTTGCATGTACCTGGCTAAGTTTTGAGGGTTTCGAGCGAGAAACCAGAGGAGAAAGTGAAGCCACGCGCCTCCACATGTCTCTGTAGCGTTGAGCTGCTCCGATTGGTTTAGCTTTTTGGTTGCCGTTTTTTACTGAGGCATTACGTCGAACAGGTAGATTGCTTGATTGCCTCCTTGGTGGGGTCCACCGTACGAGATATTTTTTTTAATGTGATCAGTATACGGAGTGGTTGTCATTATACAAATTATGAAATATGTATGTTAAAATGTTAATAACTTAAAATGTAAAATTTTCCACCACTTCCATAAAAACATATGATGTGATGTACCATCTACGTTCCGTCGCAAAAAAAAAATTTCTCCCACCGCACGTTGGTCCGTCAATCCACCAATCCGGGTGGGGGTGCAGTGCACCGCATGTTTATGGGCTGTTAGAACTTCAACCCACCAAGTTCATTTCAGGTTTCAGTTGGGCTCGAAGATAAATGGCTAAGCCCAAAACCTCAACTGAAAAGGACATGTCTTAAAATGTGTTGTTAACCCACTAACTAAACAAGTTATCATGGTCGTCATCATCATCACTAAGCACTCTTTTTACGGGAATATAACAACGTCCTCACTTGGACATTCTCGATTCTCTTTCTTATTCTGTAATGTTGTTTGATGACCATGACTGTCTACTTTTCTACATCACTTTATACTGATTGACTATTGCAAAAACTCAATTACGTCAGAAATCGTTTAACTATTCGATTAATATTATGAATTTTTTAGTATTTACGTGAGAATCATGATTTTTCTATTTATTGGATAACCGTTAAGTCAATTAATGAGAACTCCTCTATTCCGTGGACGTAGCCAATATGGGTGAACCACGTACATCTTGTGTTTGCTTTCCTATCTCTATCCATTTATATACTTATCCACACTAATGACCGGAGCAATCTAACGAAGATCACAAAAAGTGACCGTTTTCGCTACCTAGGATCTATCTTGCAAGAGAACGGAGACTTAGATGAAGATCTCAACCATAGAATACAAGCTGGATGGATGAAGTGTAAGAGTGCATCCGGCGTGTTGTGTGACCGTCGTAGGCCACTGAAGCTCAAGGGAAAATTTTATAGGACGTCAATAAGGCCGCGATGTTGTATGGCACAGAATGTTGGGCGGTGAAGCATCAACACGTACACAAAATGGGTGTAGCGGAGATGAGGATGCTTCGTGGGATATATGGGCACACGAGAAAGGATAAGATTGGGAATGAGGATATCCGAGGTAAAGTAGGAGTAGCCAAAATTGAAGGAAATATGAGAGAAAATCGGTTCCGGTGGTTTGGACATGTGCAAAGAAGGCCTACTGACGCTCCGGTTCGAAAATGTGACTACGGGACAGAGGTTCAGGGCCGAAGGGGTAGAGGAAGACCTAGGAAAACTTTGGAAGAGACCCTAGGAAAAGACTTGAGTACTTGGATCTAACGGAGGACATGACACAAAACCGAGCGCAATGGCGTTCTAAGATTCATATAGCCGACCCCACTTAGTGGGAAAAGGCTTTGTTGTTGTTGTTGTTGTTGATTGGATAACCGTTAAGTGACCAACATATTCTGGATTTAGTTAATTTTTTTGAATGCTAACTTTGAAATAGACGATACAAAAATGTACTCCCTTTTCAAGATGAGAAAAGGTAAAACAAGAAGATTGTTATCATTGTTCCTCTTTGTAAGAGCTAAGTTCACACACGTCAACTGATTCTGACCATTAATCGCGTGAGATTCACAAAATATTAATGGTTAAAATCAATCAATCGCTCATGCGTGCAAACTAATTCTCATCGTTCACGATATTATAAATAACCAGATAATCGCACATGCACAAAATTCACATATCAATTGCCTTGTTCTAATACTGTCCATCAAAACCAACCTCCAGTCAAACAAATCAAACGTTAACAAAGTCAAAAACACTCGACAACGATTTGGTAATTGGGATCTTATGATTTGATTTGTGAGTTAAGATAAGGATGGCTTTGGTTAATGGTGGGTTTAACGTTTTGCACACGAGGATGTGATTGTCTGTGCCCTTTTAGGCTTTTTTGAAAGAAAATTGTGGACCGCCCGGCCGAAGAAAAACGGGATGTTTGCTGCCAAAACACTCAAAGTTTATGTATATTGTGAGAGCAAACAACTCCAACACACCCCCCCCCCCCACCACAACCCACCAACATGTTTGAAAAACTTAAACACCACACCTACACCGGTTGAATTGATTGGACAAATGTCAAACTACTGGGAGAAAGTTTTGGAAGTTTAATTGTATTTAATTTTTGACTTAATGACTAGGGATTACCTCACGCATTACATCATTAATTTGGATAATGATATCATGGGTTTATCATAAAAACAAGAACTCATTTTCCCTTGTTTATAGTTTTACTGTTTGTTGATCTTAACAATAACAAAGTGCTTTGATGCAAAAGTTGTGTGTTCAAATGCTCGTTGTTTGTGTAGAGTTTATAGTTAAGTTGCTTAAAAGCATTTATTCATTTTCTCTAATATTGCATGTAGTGTAAAAATTGTACTACTCAATGTTTGGTTCCAAGTAATAAAAGTAGTAACAAATTTTCTACTTTCACACGTCATTAATCGGCAAGAAAATTTATTTCCTAGTTTTTAATTCTTTTGTTGTACAATAGTTTATCAAGGTTATAGTAGTATGCATGTGATTCAATATCCTAGGTAAATAAGGTGGTGGGTTTCCACTCATTCGTAGTAGCAGAGTCGATGCGGCGGCATTAGCATTCCTTGACCCCAATAAGTTTGTGAGTATACCCTTTTGAAAAAAATATTTGATCCCTAGCTATACCACCAGCAGATGAAATAAATAAGGATCTTTAATATATATTATTTCAACAGGCACAAAACTAAGAAAAATTGAACACACTAACTTGTCTTTGTCAATTCCAAGTTTCTCCGTTGTTCAAGTTCAATCAGGCGCTTCCACCGCAATTGATTGTACTATTCCAGGAATCTCAAATATCCAATCTTCAATAATTGTTCTTATCTTAAATTATTGTGGTTTTTAGGCTTTCACTCAATTCCAATTTTGAACGGAGGAAAGGAAGAAATCATACGGCGGCAACAGAACTTAGAATTTGATGGTCTGAGTGCCATCGTCTCCATTTACAATATTGGGCATGAAAAAAGGTTCTTGAATGTAGTATAATTTAGTCAAACTTAGATATTTTTTGGTGCATATGGTCATTTCAAGATTCTTTATTCCAAATTTCACTTGTTAATTCCATAATTCATAATTATATATTAGTTAATTCGAAAATCCATTGGATTTATATAATTATATGTAGTAATTGGAAAATGGCTTTGTATGGTTTCTGATCATTCGATTAGATGGTATAAATATTTGTCTCTATGAGAATATATATATGATAACGAACTGAAGACTGAAAGTGCCGAATTAGGTTTTTTTTTTTTTTTTTTTGTTGCGACTGCTTCAATTGAAAGAGCTTTTTCGTTGATGAATATTTGAAGATCCACATCGTAATAGGATGAGAGTTCAATAGTTGAATGATAGTTTGGTTATATACATTGAGAAATATGTATTTGATTATACTGATAATGATGTTGTAATACGACGTTTTCAAAATATGAGAACACATTGTGGACAATTATAAATAAAGTATGATTGATTTTTTAAAGTTATTTTTTTACCTGGTCAATCATTGTAATTTCTGGCACTGCCACTACTCATACGTCCCGGAACTCTCTATTTTCCTAAATTATTGTAATAGTTTTGAAGCTTCCTTCTCCCCCTCCCCATCCCCCTCTCCTCCCCTCCCCTTAACAATAATAAAATATAAAAAAATTAAAAATTATAGAAGTTTTACTTTCTACTTAAAAAATGACTTCTCTTTAATTTATCCGCAAGAGAAACACGATCATATCACAAAGATTGTGAAGCATGCATTACACATTTTTTTAAGGTTAGATCAAAGAGTAGTGGGGCTGACGATAAAGGTGATGCAGTGCTTAAGTAAGAGTGAGATCAGGGAGAGTGCAAAGGTGGAGCTTATTGTTTGGTTTCTGCATTTGGAATGGAAGAGCCCAGAACCGATATGGACAGTGGAATAAAATCAAAAGGAAATACATAGATCAATTACAGGTCCCATGCACTTTCTGCTTCCCCTCTGCTCACTCTTATTATTCCCTTTCAGCAAGCAAGTGCGATCAAGCGTCACTAGAATTAACTAATCCTAGTAAGTGTTCATATGTATTTTAGGGTTAAGTAAGAATAATTACCCAATTTTTTAGAGTGATTCTAAAATTAGTTCCAATCTTTTAAAACGTTTTAAAAGTTAGACATTCGTTATGTTGCAGACACTAAATGATGATTTTACTAGTATTAAGTGATGATGTTACTAGCATTAAATGATTAGGTAAACAAATACTAAAGTTGGTCTCTACTAGTTGTTGTTTTTGGAGCTATAATTCCTCAAATTGATTCCTTTTAGGCAAGTTAAGCCATAAATTTGCTTAGCTAAACTGCGTCAATCTGAAAGATTCGAAGCTCCATAGATGACTTGAGAGTAAAACCCCGCTTTAATAATTGTCCTCATCACCACTTAACATTAGTGAACCTTATAAATGTTTACTTTTCAAAACGTATTTATTTAGAATGTTATAAAAGGTTAGGACCAATTTGGAATCACCACTAAAAATTGGGTAGTTATCTAGACTTCATCCTATTTTTAATTTGGGGTGTGATATCCACACACCCTTTTTTACTTCTCTCACACCTTTTTGGTTTTCGGCCGTCGGATCGGATGAATTAAAGAAGATCAACGGACAGAAATTAACAAGGGGTGTGTGAGAATTATTAATTTAAATGATAGAGAGAGTAATTCGAACTTGAGTGCAGCTGGAAGAGTAAACGGTTTTAGCTAGCGTGACTAAGCCTAAATATGCTGAGTGATTATATATTTTATACAATTACAACATAATCTTTGGACTAATTAGGTAAATTAGGCATGCAATTACAAAGTCATTTTCTTGTCATGAACTTATCCTCACAACGCAACTAGAATGATACCTTGGTAAGGACCTTTTTGTTGGGCTATGCATGCGCCACTGGGTCCAAAGTTTCACATATTAAATATGTTTATCTATATATTCATAAAGAGATAGATTCGTGTCCCTGCTTTTTTTACACAAGTTTTGTGGAGCCCATTTCACAATATATTTCAACTATTCGAACCATTTATCTTTTAAAACATCATTCATAGATCATTCTTCCAAAAAATTAGACAAATCCAAAACCATTAAGACATTATTTGTAGTGAAGAAAATAGACGAATACGGTCCTACAAATAAACCCTAAACCTTAATCCAGCATCATTTGGTTTCAGATTTGAGTGATTTTTAGTAGATATGATCTTTGAGGGAAGATCTAAAGCATAGACCGTTTGGATCGAAATACATTACAGAGTAGGTCCTATAAAAACTTATGTCAAAAACTGTGTAAAAAAAATAGTACCGCTAATCCGCCCCATTCATAAATTTATATGAAAAATACAGTATATATATATATATATTTTCCGGTTATGTAAGAGAATCACAGGACTTTCTTTCTATGCTCTTATTACAGTCTTATGTGACGGTGCATGCTCACGAAAAGTGTGGATAACACTCCCTTTATGCAATATTTTTACATATTGAAAATGCTTCTTTTTTGGTTGATGATGGCAAGAGGTAAAAAAGTAGGTTGGTAGTATATGCATTTCTTCAAAACCAAAAGTAGGGAAATATGTCAAACATGAAAGTACAGACATGACCACCGACCGTGCTTGAAATAAAAAAAAACTGTGAATTTTTCTATGGGTTGGTAAAAGTTTTATTTTCCTATGTCTTTATGTGAGGATGGAACTGTATCAATTTTGCTATAATAGAGTAGGTTAATTTCCTCCAAATATGTGTGAAATTCGTCAAAATTAGCACTAAATTTTGTTCGCCTAAATACTTGCATTAGGGTGGAGTTTGTCCACCGCAGTTTCATCTTCGTTATGCAAAAGAATCTTGTATATAACTAAGAATATATTCCTATATATTTTACTTGTCAAGAGTACATTCTCAGTTACAAAGTAAAATCTCTCTTACTTCAAACTCGATTGGTGTTACAAGAATTAGGGTTTTCCAATTGGTACCTCGATAAATATAAAAATATTTGCCAAAAAAATTAAATTCGTGGTAACTATCAATTTTAATTTGTATGGTAACTATCAATTTTAATTTGTAGGCCAATATTTAGTTGTGGCGTACACGCATGTACGTCAAGCGTGAGGCAAGTACATTTTTTGTTTTTTAATTTTTCCTAAAAGCATGGCAGCACTACTCACTAGTATATAAAGGTGGGTGGAGCGGGGCTTTGGCTTAGGAAGTTGCCAAGTGACTAAAAGCACAAAGTGATGGGCAGGCAACCTTGTTGCGACAAGCTTGGAGTGAAGAAAGGGCCATGGACTGCCGAGGAGGACAAGAAATTGGTGAATTTTCTCCTCACACATGGCCAATGTTGTTGGCGGGCCGTCCCCAAGCTTGCCGGCCTCCGCCGCTGCGGCAAGAGCTGCCGCCTCCGGTGGATTAATTACCTCCGCCCCGACTTGAAAAGAGGCCTCCTTAATGATGCTGAAGAACAACTTGTTATTGACCTGCACGCCCGCCTTGGCAATAGGTTTTGCTCTCTTTCTAAGTTTGTACTTTAATGAGCATGCGCATTCAACTGCTCATGGGTGAATTTCTTTCTAAACTTTTTTTTTTCAAACACGACGATATACTAAACTACTTTAATCTCCAGGAAGTACTAGAACTTGACTTTCAGAGACCATGGATAATGCTATGGGTAACTAGTCTGATCTACATCTTCTTTCTAAACTTACCAGGAAGAACTGTGATTTTGTGTAGGTGGTCGAAAATTGCAGCAAGATTGCCGGGAAGAACTGACAATGAGATCAAGAATCACTGGAACACGCACATCAAGAAGAAGCTTGTCAAGATGGGGATTGATCCAATTACTCATGAGCCTCTCCACAAACAAGTCACCACCCTACAAGAAATGCCTTGTGAAGCAAGTAATCAACCTGCAAACTCAGACATGAGTATTCAGCAGATGAATACAAACATCCCAGAACATGGAATCAGCACCAACAGTGACGGTAACTCTACAAGTGAAAATTCCCCAAGCAATGACTCAGAGCCAGCTGAGCCAAACCCTAATTACAGTGAGGAAGAAGACCCGTTGGTGAGTTTCATATTATCCGATACATTTCTTGAGGATTTAACATGGGATTTTTCGACCTCGTCAGAATACAGCTCAGCTGATAATCCAACGGAGGAGAATAGCTTAGCATGGTTCATGGACTGTAATGATTTTGGAGTTGAAGATTTCGAGCTTTGATTGTATGGAAGAGAAGTGATTTTCACACATCATTTTTCTTCTTATGCACATTATGTTGATTTTCAACCTTCTGATTGAACAGATCTAGGGTGAAAGAAAGAAAAAATTAAACATGTGTGCAGAAAAAGAAAATAGACGTACGAAAATCATTTCCATTTGTATGAATTAATAACAAGTGGACATATTCTCTGTACATAGCCAAAGTAACAAAAAAGTGACTCCTTGTGATGGAGACCGATCTGTTTATTATTCTATATGATAAATGATGAGGCAAGGGAAACGAAGAAAATCAACAATTTGTTTAAGAAATTAGGTTATCATTGATCGTAATCATTTGTTTATTCCCACTAACACTAATTCAAAAGTTTCACTCAAAAAAATAACACTAATTCAAAAGTGTGGAGGACTTTGAACACATTACCAATTCCATCCAAAATATGGGTAGTTTGGTAGGGTGTCCATTTGCTGCCAAGCCATTAACTTTTTATGGTTTGTACTTTGTAGTATGACAAATTTACAAATTCACATGACCACAAAAGCTACCAAAAAATAAATCAAAATGACATGATTGGCCGAGGGACATACGGTCTCCGTTTGGTAGATAGTCACAAATTCAACTTACACGAATGCTAAGATGATATGTATTTGTATTTTGTTAAGTTGTGACATATTGCTAACCTAAAGAAAAACAAAACTGAAATGATTTATATATCACATTTTAGTACAATTAGTATTGTTTTTCAAATAAAAATGTAAGGAGAGAAGGTGAAGTGTGACACACCCTGACTTCGGATATCCACTTGAACTTCGAATTGAGTAGTGCTGGCCGACACCATGAAGGTGACGAAACCATAAAATGTAGTGATGTGGAAAATGTGAATAAATTTAAACCTGAAGTGCCTAAATGTAAGAGTGCGGATGTGAGCGGGAATGAACTCATTTAACACATGATGTTAGAGCATAAGTAAAGTACATTAAAGATAAAAGAGGAATTATACCGTCAGTAGTATTCCCACAACAACAGTTTGCCAGAAATCCTCGTTGACACGAAAACAAAGCCACTAAAACTTGGAGGGGCGAAAAATAAGGGTGAGTGGGCCTAAAAATAAAGTTTTATAAAAACCTTTTTTCAAACATTATAACCCCTCGCCGTAAAACAAGTATAATTTCCAAAATATACATACTACGTATAGTATAAAAATATTTACCGTAGTCTGCAATATCTGAAGAATTCAATATGTCACAAAATTCGTAAATAGGCATATAACTTCTAGTAATCACTATATCTCGCAAAAATAAACATATCACCTTGAGTGCTCATCGACATATGCTGACACACAAGTTCATGCAAAGGTATTCTAACATGAACAGGACTGGGTGTAATAATGATTTACGCTCTAGTACTATAATCACGTGAAGACTGGTGTTATGGTATCACATACGAGTCCTAATTGCCTATAGCAATTTAGGACAGGATTGGCACCTACAATGGATCCAAAGTGAGAGTACGGTGCGATGTGAACATACACGTGAAAGACTGACCCTGACCCGTGCGAGTACTAACACCCGTGTAGCAACGATGAACAGATAACGTAAATAAAATCATACAGTGGTAAATTGATAATTCACGTCACCATGATACTATTCATAGCCATAAATAATTAAGGCATCAATAATAATACACATACATGTGCATCTCGTAGGACGTAGCATAACTTCATAATTTCTATCAATGCGCTAAATCTTATGAACATCACGCTAATCTAGGCGTATTGTAAAAACACTTTTTATGAAATGTATAAATGGAAACTAAGAATTATATATATATCATATAAAAGAAAATACCCACTCACAGATACTTGTAAGGTTGATGTTGTTCGAACTAGGAAAGCTGAAGTCTCTAATAGTGATCTCACCTAAACATAATATTAGAACCCATTAGTAAAACTCCACTAAGATAATTAAATTTGAAAAAACGGAGTGCGGATTTGAAATCAGGGCGTCGAAATACGCTAAGGAGAATCCCTAACAAATTTTGTAAAAAATCAACAAAAAAGTCAACGGTTGACCCTAAAAAGTCAACTATAACGTCCCGATGGTCAACTACATTAAAACTTTAGAATTTCACTAAATGGATGCCAAAAATGAACTTAGGGCGTCAAAATTAGTCTAGGAGGGGTTTTTGAGAAAATTATGAAAAAATCAATTAATGATCAACAGTTAACTTTACCAGAATGTTCTAAAAATATATTCTCCTTCAATCTCTAAGTGGATCCGGGTATGGTCTCGCTTATCCAGCCCGGATCAACCAGACCCGCGAATCCGGGTCCGATCTCGCAAATCCCCTTCAATCTCTAAGGAATATTCTGTGACTATCATTTTTTTATTCCCACTAGCCCTAATTCAAAAGTTTCATTAAAAAAAAACACTAATTCAAGTTTCATTAAAAAAAAGAACACTAATTCAAAAGTGTGGAGGACTTTTGAACACATCACCCAATTCCATCCAAAATGTGGGTAGTTTGGTAGGGTGTCCATTTGCTGCAAAGCCATTAACTTTTTGTGGTTTGTACTTTGTAGTATGATAAATTTACAAATTGACATGCGACATGCTCACAAACGCTACAAAAAAAATAAATCAAAATGACATGATTGGCCGAGGGACATATGGTCTCTGTTTGGTCGATAGTCACAAATTCGACTTACGTGAATGCTAAGATGATATATATCTGTATTTTGTTGAGCTGTGACATATTATTAACAGACAGAAAAACAAAACTAAAATGATTTATATATCACTTTTTAGTACAATTGGTATTGTTTTTCATGTAAAAATGTAAGCAGGGAAAGTGAAGTGAATCATGGTTATCCAAAGAATATATCGTACCCTACCCATTTTATATTGGCACCGAGTTGCATAAATAACAATTACATAACACTAGAATAGAATCAAGCATTTGGTGTCAAATGGCTGGAAAAATTTTAAGGACTCGTTTGGAGGTATTTTTAAAATGCTGAAAATATCTTTAGTGTAAATGTTTTCAAAATCAATCCTTAGTAAAAATCCAAATTATTAATGACAAAACACTTGAAGTATTTGAAGCAAACTCGAAAATATTTTTAAAAAAAAAAAATTTCTTATAAAAGCGTTTTTATTTAAAAAATATTTTCAAACGAGCCCTAATTTGCAAACGAAAGTATATTCTCGCAATAATATTTATCTCATCACAATGTGAGAATATATGTCCTAATTACACCGAGAAATCCCCTCGATGGTGGGGAATTCCAAAATAAAGCTCTGATTTCTTTATAATAAAAGTAAAGGTTTGTTTTTTTATGGTAAATTATAAGAAACTTTAACAAAAAACTTATGTTACTGTTCACTTTAACGAATAATTATATTTTTACTCTAAAAAATAAATCTTGGTACTATTCACTTACAACACATTTTTGTTATTTTCATTAAAACTCAAGATTTTTAAACATTTTTTATTAGTTTTCCTTAAATAATATGGTGAGTAATATTCCACTCTCAACATTTTTGTTTTTTTGTTTTTTTGTTTTGGGCCAATTGATAGGCATTTTTTTTTGTTCAAAGCCAATTGATAGGCATGGAACACAAAATATTCTTCGTTTTTAACTCTTCTGTCGACTAATTATATGTTAATTTAGAACTACATAACGTTATTTTTAAGAATAAAACAAACAAAAACAGTACTACATAAAAGAAGAGGATCGACCCCTCAAATGGTAGGTATCATAAAAGTATGATTGTATAAGAGTGCGTTTGGACCCGATTTTACACCATCGGTCTGAATAATCGAGGTCGTTGAGTGAGCATGGTTCTTAACCGTCGGATGAAAAAATAGAGATATTTTTGCTAAAGGATAATATTATGGATTTTATTATAATAATTATCTTCTTGGCATCTTCTTAAACCAAATAAATAGAATGTGATTTATATCTCAAATAAAGCAATACAATTCGAATTGATTTGAGATGTCTGACGGCATTTGGAAGCTTAAAATGAATTTGATCAGAATGCATGCACGACAATAAAGATGATGGCTTTTGGTGACAATGTGAGAATGAGATGAGAAACCTAGGTAGGGTAGGTTTTTAATGCATGGTGATGGTGTTGTCCGATTGAATACAAGACCATAAGAATTGATGATGGGATTAGGCCATATAGTCTGCATGCCGTGTGTACTGGGCTAACTATATATAAAAAATAATTGGTGGCTATTTATTTGTTCATCTCCAAGCATGAGGATTATTTGGGGATTCGATGTGGTAACTGATAAGACTAAACACAAGGATCAAATTTGGTTGTATTTTTGGCTAAGTTCAAAGTCTTGGGGGGAGTAAGCTTTATCTGAGGTTCAAATCAGTAGAAGAGTTCTAATAACATAGGTAGCATGTACTAGCTTATCAACCAGCGCATCCTTGTCCCTATAAATACAAGGCTACAAACAATGGAAACCCCCCTCCAATTTAACACACAAATTGCCTTGCGCAAACCCTCACTTTCGCGAAACCTCTCAACAACCTTGAGATTTTTATTTTCTTTTTCTGCCGACATATCTTCAATTGGGATAAACAATAGTGTGAAGGCAATCGATGATACCTTCAGTTTGGATAAACAGCACTATCGCCGTAGAACCAGCCGATCGCGAAACACGTTCAGTTTGGATAAATAGCACTACGTCGAGGCTGACTGGTTATCTATCCAAGTCTAGGTCGAGAAAGACTTTCGGGTCTTTATTGGCAGATGTCATCTCATTAGCCTTTTCGGTGAGGTGAGGTGTTACCATCAAGACATATATTTGTTTTGAGTATTTGTGCCCCTATACTCTGATGTCGATTTGGCATACTTATACCCTTACAAATCACTGTGATCGAATTCGGCACCGACGATTTGTGAACTTCGCAAAATTAGCAACCTTGTCTTCAAGCTCTAACCCAAAGATCAAGATGTGTTCCTTCCTCGGTCGCAGTCGCAGTCGCAAGATCGAGAAGTCAGCCACGCGCTCAACGCAACATCAACACATTTTACTCCTCGGCCGAGCTTGGCCAATGAGTTGGCACGCCCCACATCAACCAAATGACGTAGTTAGCTCATTAGTTACTCGGTCTGCGTGCCACGTAAGCTTGGT